GTCATTGAAAACTGTCTAAAACCAATTTGTTCTTTTTAACCCTTTAACTCCTGAAAACCTACGAGGAGTGATTCAAACTCTTTTTGTCAACTGAGTGTTTTCTGTCATATTTTAGGCCTGATTAAAAAGCCTGATTGTGCTCTGGATATTCACAGCCAGAAATTTGACCACACAAACCAACTTTGCAGTGCAGTAAGCAATGCTGTAAACATCTTTCTTATTTTAGTATTTTGCATTTCTGAATTTTTTCTTGTTCTGCAATCTTTTATCGCCCGTCTTTGAGTCGTTGGGCTATATTTTGGGAGATTTGGCTGCAAATGTTGCCCTCTGTAGCTCGATGTGCTAGCTGTGGAGAATATCAACAAGACTTCAGACATCTTTCTGGGAACTGAGTGTCTGTAGGAGGAGGGGGGTGTAGAGGTTGAGTGCTGGCTGTATAATAACCATTATTCAGCTGAGATGGCTATCCGGAGAGGGCTATCAGTGCTGGGGCCAGAGACACTGTGATTAGATTTCCCCCGTGTTGCTATTCTTCTTCTGTCCCTTGATCTTTCTGTGCCACTGTTCTCCTTTTGTATATTACTCAAACAGTTCAACAAGAATCTTACTGGTCATAGAACTGATGGCATGTCACAGAGAGATGTATTGAAGAGACGAGAGTTCAGGTTTCTTTCAAAGTTTAATTTGCTTTGGTCAGAAGCTGTGTCTTTGGAAATGTTCTATTATCAAAATTTACCAACTGTCAATTCCAGATGACAGAATTAAACAGCTGTTTTTCACATCCTTTACTCTGCGTGTTGTTCAAAACCCAATAAACAAATTGCTCTGTTGACCAAATGGACTTTACTCCATTTGTACCGGATCTGTATTTTATAAACACCCTCTCAGCACAGGCCCCTTGTTAATGTGAACAGTTGTGGCTGCAAAGCAGGTGCAGAGCAAATGAAACTGCATTGTTGAGAGTCTGAGCAGCTGGGTCTGCCTATTAGTTAAAGATCTAATTTTTCAGACTCCAGTGTGTGGCTTTCAAAGAGTGCGCCAATGTTTTTCCATCCACATCCACTTTCATCCACTTCCGCTGTCTTTATTATCCCATTTCTTTGCGACTTCTTCGACACACACATGTCCCTTTCTCTCCCATTCTCTCGCTCCTCCCTTCCTTTCCTCTCACTCTGCCTTGCTCCCTCTGTGGTATCAATGCACGGGGCTGCTTAAAGCCTGTGTCTCTATGCTGTGGCGGTAGGTAATCAGTTAACCTCATTATGCTGCTGATGAAATTAAATCATTGCAGTAAGTGAAAATAATAATATGAGTAATAGGTGCGGGGTATGGTGGAACACCCCATGGCATTTGCTGCAGTCCCAGCCAGTCAAGATTTACCTCTCTCTTTCTCTTTCTCTCTCTCTTGCTGTAGCGAGCCATCGGTGGAAGATAACCGATGGCTCGGAGAAAAAAAGGGAGCTTTCAAACCACCGATGTTGACATCAGTTAAAAAGTCATATGTAATGTAATATGTCAGCATCCATATGCATATCAATATGCTGACCACCAGCCAGCTTTTGAGCTGCCAGGTGCCTGTTTGGTTTAGGTTTGGTTAAGGTCCTGAAAATTATAAATGTGTATTACACTGCATGGATAACACAGCAGTACTTTGCACTGCCTACAAAATGGCAGAGTGAGTTCTAAGGTTATACATTACCTTTTCAGCAAGACTGCTCATTTATCAGTCTATTATATGTTCCCTTTGCCCTAAAAATAGTGAAAGCCAAACCAAATGGCCATCAAATCACATTTCTGCGTCTAGTGCAGTTACCTGGTTCGGTATTTATTTATATATTTAGTTTAAGAGATGGTTTGGTAGCAGTGAGCAGTCAGTGGAAATGAGATTAGTCGGGGGACTTATGTGAGTCTAAAGGACAGACCTTTTGGAAGGCTGCAGTTAGCATGGTGGAAAGCAGAACGCAACAGCAGGCGTGAGTCTGCAGATTAACAGCCGGGCGGTGGCTAAGCTAACCAGAGGCTGATTAAAGGCTTTGCACCTGTCACTTGCATAATGATATTAAGTGGTGAAGCAAAATTAAAGACAATTATGGATAATGATGGCATTCAAAAAAAAGCAAACCACAGACAGGCTACCTATCCCTGCCCAGCTCATTATGAGAGCCAAGCTGCACAAACCATATACATTGTCCTTTTATAACTATGGATTAAACTAATGAACACAAGCAGCATGAAATGTTTGCACTGTAGTTCTTTCAGGCAAGCATTGTGCTGTCGTAAAGAAGATGCTTTGCAGTTGGAGCGATGGTTAAAGTACGTCTCCAGGAAATGATTGAGTTAATATAAAGTGTTCTGAAGTTGTGCTTGTGTAGTAAAAGACTGAATTTATATTTGAAAATTCTTGCCAAAATGCGGGGTGTAACAGCAAAGTGTGTCTCGTAGCACTCTGCGAGGCTGTAAGGTGATTGCTGGCCTAACTGACAAAGGTTGCTTTCAGCAAAACAAGAAAAGAAAAAGAAGGAAAAAGAAAACAGCAACATTATCGCTGAATAATGCATGTGTGTTGATTCCATTTGGCTTGAGAAGATCTGTCATTTCAGACGGCATACGTCATAGAAGAGTAATTGCTGTGCCATTATGGAGGACTAGCCCTTTGGGAATTCTAGGATACTATCATCCCGTGTCATTGGTTTCCTTCTACCCTTCACAGTCAGGCTGGCTAACCCTAAAGTAACACTCCCTCGATGAGTGATCTATTTATTTTTGCATGGCCGCCTTTATCGACAGAGTCTGTAAGCTTCAGGGGAAAAGATGTTATCAGACTCTATTCCAGGGGAAGCGAGCAACCAAAATACAAGCCTTTTTTTTCTCCAGGAAAGGCTGCCGATGCTGTATCAGGTCAGAGCAGCTAGAACGATAGCACAATCTCTCAGAGAATCCGCTATCCCTGCTTCTTGTTTACTGCTGTTTTCTGTCCTCCCTCGCTTCTCTGTGCACATTCACTCTTGTTTAATAGTGCATGTTTTCAGTTTCATAAATGCTGTCTGTCTAGGTTTCATTCAACACTTTTCACACTGTAAAGACGTAGTTAACGCAATGTGCCGTAAAGATCCGGCAACGTCAAAGGCATCAGATGTAACACGCAGAGAGCAAGGTAGACCTGCTCTTTACAGATATCCTTGTCCAAGAGGCAGAACAAGCTGGAGAAATGCTAAAGTGCAGCACATTTTATGGTATACATGGATCATTGACACACAGAAGATGCTGCATGTGAGAACACGTCCCTATGTCTTTGCTAAGTGATGTGGCTTGCTTTTTGAGCTCTAGAGATTATATGGGGTGATCATCAATAACTGATGGAGAGACTGTGAAAGCATGAAAGGATGTAAATGCCCGCATTCTTTTAAACCGATCACTGAAATATTTATTTTGCTTGACCGACGTCAGCCTTAGTTTAACCGGCTTTGATTTGAGACCCTCTAGTTCTTCTTCTTGTTTTTTCAGATTGTCTGAAGATTCAATATTTCATTTCTAAATGTGAATGCACATAAAACCACTACTCTACTCTCCATATCTCCCTACATAGTGTGTCATATAAATCCATAAAATAAGCGTATGTATTTCGGTTTCTTTTATGTGGCAATTTTACCAATTAAAGCTAAAACAATTCATTATGAAAGCTACGTGAATCAATAATATTCAATATCTTGAAATTCCTGCTGCCTTTTGATTTGAAATGCTTAACTGTGGTGACTTAAAAATGTGACAGTAGTGGTTGTGAAAATGAAATATGCCTCGGTCCTGTTAAGGTTTTTAAGGGAGTCCCACCATGATATCACTTGCAAATGGAAAATAAATAATAGCTTTTTATGACTGTCCTTTAAAGGCAGATAGTCAGAGTCTGTGACTCAAGCTGCTCCCCTAATTTCCCTTGATTTAGTGCTCGCAAAATATCCGTGAGACCACCACAGTGTCTGCAAAGTGAACATGAGGTCATCGGCTTGCCGAATGAAAAGCGAGCTAAGTCAGTCAATCTTCTCCAATTTGGGATGTGGCCTTACTCTTCTGAATCATATTACAGCTTAGGGTACTTCCCCCTCAGCTCTCATCAAAAGAGAATTACTCACTACCCTGCTCGAGTCCGGGTAGAGGTCAGGGGATTTGACCCATGAGACTAATTGCCCTAAGAGAGCATGGAGCCTGCATCAGAACGACGATGACAATGAAGAACACTAGACTGTCATGTGTTTAAAGTGAAATAATTACTCAATGGTGCGTGATTATTAGCTGTAAGGATACCACAGCGTTCGTGTGACTGAATAACAGTCACTGATTAGTGTGATGGCACTTAAATTATCGTGATAATAACGGCAAATATGTTCAACTGTAACTGCCGAACTCATGCACATTTAATGCAGATCTGTCAAATCTGATCAGTTACATCTCTCTGCAGACTTTTTTAATTCCACAGTGGCCATTTTGACTTGTCACAGTAGGGAAAGCACTGGTGCATTAATGATGGCTGAGGGGAGAGGCTCTACTTTTGCAGATGCTGGTTCGCTGTATTTGCTTACTGGCACTCTTCGTGGAACTGCGTCAGTATGCTTTCCCCACTGTGACATGTCAAAATGTCAGCCATGAAAAGCTTCTGTTGGTGTCAAGTGTGGGCATTTGGGTTGATAGTGTGGCTCAGATGAACAAATGTCTAAGATTTTCTGCTTAAATAATATGAAATTGGTCCACAATGGTTAAAAAAAAAAACTATAGAAAGTCTATAGTAAAAGGAGGACTTGTAACCATGGCAACCTAGTGGATAGCACATTCAGAGAGTTCTAAAGATAAACACAAAATATTCTTAAATCTTGTGGCCTTAACCTAGCCAAAGAGTGAGCCAAATCTTTACTTAAACTTGAAATCTAAACGTAAAAATGAAATCTATTAATAAGCGAATGAAATAACCTCAGAGGACTCACGTGCACTCTCCTGCTCTTTTTTTACAGAGGACCTTCTTCCACCAGGCTTCCCTAACATTGACATGGGGCCTCAGCTCAAAGTAGTGGAGCGCACTCGAACAGCCACCATGCTCTGCGCCGCCAGTGGCAACCCTGACCCGGAAATCACTTGGTACAAAGACTTCCTGCCGATTGACCCCACTGCAAGTAATGGGCGAATCAAACAGTTACGCTCAGGTAAGGAAAGCTAAAGCATTATATTGCTGCTCTGGTTCCTTCTTACTAATGTGAGCCCTCGTTTAATTTCCCAGAACATTTTCGACGGCACGTAACATTGATGTTTTTGCTGTTTTGTGTAAGCTAATGTATGTGTAATGCCCAGTATTTCCTTTTCTGAAGTCAATTATTTTCTCAAAGTGCCACTGAGAACACATGTTCATTTCTCTAGTTTGGGAATGCTAATTATTTCAACAGCCTTTACTTTAATCTGTGACTCGAGAATTCATTCAGCTCTAAATGTATAATCATTACATTGTGCTAAATGTTATGCTAAACAAATGAAAATCACCCAAAAAAGGTTTTTTAAATGTGTTGGATGTTGGTCTAATAAATGGAGAAGAGGCACAAAGTTTTAAAGTAAAGCACAAAAGCTCTTGTACATGTTAATATAACTGTTGGTCATCATCCAGTAGCTGGTGAGGGAGATGATGTTTTAGAGTGTAACAATGTAGAATGAGGTCAAAGGATTCACAACAACTGTGTCAGGACACAATAAGAGCAAGGTCCATCTTCTACACACTCAGTGGTGGATATGTTGTCTTGTTCCCATTGATTAAACCCCACTGAGAGGCCCAGTAAAGCAAAGTCTAATTATATAGCTAATTAAGTGCAGGCCCGCAGGTGGCTCAGGGCAACAAGGGGTAGATATTTTAGGTCGATGATTTGTCACCATTCGAAAAATCCAATGACTTGTTTGTGTTATGTTGCGAATGTAAATCTGGGTAGACGACACTAAATAAAGAGTGTGTTGTCATTCACTTCCTGTCCTAATTGTGGTCCTCGAGAGCTATGTACACAAAGTAATCAATTGGTCAACTGGCTATTCATGCTGTACCTTACAGAGCAAGTTCACAGTTCTGTATTTTTTACTGGTTCCTCTTTAAATTATTAGTGTCTTCAATTTTGAAGCAGATTGAATTTTAGAATTTTTTAAATTTCAAATTGAGTCCATGCCTTGTCTTGTAATTTCATTACATTCTTGCAGGGTTTTTTATTTTTTCTTATTGGTCACTCACTAGACTCCTGTGCAACTGTTGACAAGGATATAAATCATGTGAAACATGGGCTATATTTAGTACCAAGTATTGGTACAAGCACTGCCCCTCCTGCTGCATAAAAGCCAAATTTTTATGATGATGTATTTATGTCATGAAATTCTTTTTATGCCATAAATATGTAAGTTAAATGTCATGCCATGAGTTGCTATTTTTTTTTTTTTACATTCCAGATATTCAAATTAAGCAGTAACAAATAGAAATGTGCACTGAAAGGTTTTATTGCACAGTTACGATCACATTTTGAATTATTGTTGTTTGTTTCTCACGAGCATCCAGCAAGGGTAGGGTTTTTTTTTCTCTCCACCAGTATTTTCTTTAGTCATACTGTATTATTCTCATGTCGAGGGCCAGCTTCTCTCAAAAAAAAAAATTCAATTACCTGGTAACCTTGTTAACATGGCTTTTTGAGTTTTGTGCCTCTCTGGATAATCCACAGAGAAATTCAGCTTGGCGTCTATTGTCTAATCTCTGTACCATCTGTCTTTATTTGTTTCATGATTTTTCAATTGTCTTTGTTTGTCCTGTTTAACTGAAACAGAGCTGTTTACTCGTCACTGTTTTTCTGAATGTTTTGTCCATATTTGTGTCTGAAACTCAGATGTGCGTCTGTCCACATCGCAGAGTCTTCAACACGCTTTATATCATTTTGACCTTTAACACAATTAAAAAGCCCCAACCAGGAAAAAAAATCACAAGCCAATTAAAAACTGGAAAATTGCACTAATTGTGATATTTTACAACTAAAAATAAAATAACTTTTTCATAATAAAAAAATCCTCTAAATGTGTTCATAAATTATAAATAAAATGCACTGTGATTACATCTCACTGTAATAAAAACTGCTAACAATGCTGTGGTGGGACAAAACACCAAACCAAACTTTAGCCCTTGGAAAGTCACATTGAACCTTATCTTAAATAAACTATGTTTTTTTTTCTTTTCCTATTTATCTGTTCTTTCTTTGCTATTTTCAGAAACCTTTGGTAAGTGTCTTGCAAAGCTCAGCAAACCAGCCCACTGTCCTTGAAGCACATGGCATATTTATACTACTGTCCAGAATGCATGATTTCGCTGCTCCTCCTCCACCCTTTCCCTCCAATTCCACATGTTCCCTATTTTTTTCTTTCTGTATAGCCTTCATTTTTCTTTACCCTACTCCTCTTGGTTTCAACTATATATTCTTTCACCTCAATACTACAACTGGATTTATAGTAGAAAGACACAGAATGTGTTGAGGAAGCATCATGATTCACCTAGCAGCATATTTTCTTAGTTTTAAGCAGCAAGTCTTTTGAGGTAGCGTCATACTTCATGATAAAGGTAACATGCATGGTAGGTCGTATAAACAGTCCAATTTGGACCCTGTCCACATTATTTTAGTACATGTATCCATGGGATTCCAAGATTACCTCAGAAGTAACGGTATATGAAGTTACCTTTAAGATTTATCCCATTTACAGCAAGACAAGAGGTCCTAAGTAAATAACTGGAATCCAACGCATTTCTTTGCAGCCTGAAGCATTTCTGGGCTTCTTAAAGGGATATATAGCAGGCACGTTTCTCCAGCAATGCACATTGCTTACTGATTTATCTAACCTGTTTTACTTGAACCTCTGTGCTTGCAATAAAGCATTGCTTCAAAAGCATTCCTTGAAGGTGCAGCGAGTACTGTCAGGGGCTTGAATTCTTAAACATCAGTGCAGGACTTCTGGAATGCATATTCCAACCCTAACTCGTGCTGCGTAAACCCTCTGGTCTTGGCCAAATATTTTGTCAGGAGAGCATTCTTCTTCTCTTGCCAGATTGGCCCTCTGCTTCACTACTTAACAAATGTCTTGCTCAGACTTTATTGCCCAGACTAGAGGCCAACTGATAGCCTCCTGACTTACGAAATATTTGCAAAAGATATACCCAGTCACTTCAAGCTGGATGTGTTTTACAGAAATTTCAAACTATACGTGCAAAAAGGAGGGGAGACAAGGAAATTACTTTCCCTTTTTTCAGTACCATAGCTCTTATAAGGTTATGTTAGCTTTGGGGGCTTGCTTTTATTCTATAGCTCTTCTGCTGGAAAGCTCAGCAGTCAGACAGGATTTATGGTGATTTATGGCTTGAGCCCCCTAGGCTGCCATCTTCTCATCCCCTTAGCTCTTCTAGTACCCATCTTTGGTCCCTAATAACTTTTTCTTTTTTGCATTTATAAATGCACTTAAGAAATCCCCAAAACAGAAAACATGCGACAGCCTCAGCCTCCCCTCCAACTTCTTCTGATGTGCTGATCACTGTTGACAGTTTCTGGGGCCTCTCTGTTTGCATCAGGCACACTCTCAAGCCTTGGGGG